GTCCCCAAGGCAGCTTCCGGGGAGGTGCACAGAGGGGCGCTAGGAACTGGCTGCTGTTCTGTTCTACTTAGCATGGGTCTGCAGGAGTAGCACGTTCAACATCGGCCTGGTACTTCTTTCTCCGAGCGTTACAATCATTCCTCAGTTCTCATAGGATAGAGGTTTTCACTACTTCGAAATCTCAACCTCAGAAGCCTAGCCTGGCATCATCCTGCCTCTTGCTGGTGCTGCCAGCGGTGCCCAGGGAGGGCCCTACCCGCGCTGTGCTGGGAAATCATGGATAACCTGCCAGACGTTCTGTATACCAGATGAATTAAAACAGGGCAGGAGGTCACAAAGGAAACGTCTACTTTATAGCAAACCCTATGATGAGTTCAGATCTTCCAATATCTAAAACACAAAGACCAACAAGCAGGGGCGATACAAGATCACAAAATGGGAAGCCACTTCAAAGAAAATCAAGGGGCCAGCCTGGTGTTGCAGGGTTAAGTTTGCACGTTCTGCTTTGGTGGCCCAGGGTTCGCCGGTTCAGATCCCAGGTGCAGACATGGCACTGCTTGGCCCATATATGAAGTAGAGGAAGATGGGCATGGATGTTAGCTCAGGGCCAGTCTTCCTCAGCAAAAAGAGAAGGACTGGTGGCAGATGTTAGCTCAGGGCTAATCTTCCTCAAAAAAAAAAAAAATCAATTATTAAACTAATGTTCATTCCATCTAACTCAGGAACTAGCTTTAATCCTTGAAAACCCAAAACAGCACCTGAAAATGATTTTTGAAATGTAACTGATCCTTCCTAGCTTCACCATAAGAAATCATTTCTCTCTAACTTCTCCAAAATAGCAGAGTGTCAAAAGGCAAGTCTAGGAAAACAAGAGTATCTGTGCTGGAGTTCAGTCTTCTTTCGACTGCCAGAAAAAAAAAAAAAAATTCAAGGTTTACTTTTTTTTTTTGAGGAAGATTAGCCCTGAGCTAACATCTGCTGTCAATCCTCCCCTTTATGCTGAAGAAGACTGGCCCTGAGCTAACATCCATGCCCATCTTCTGCTACTTTATACATGGGATGCCTACCACAGCATGGCTTGCCAAGTGGTGCCATGTCCACACCCGGGATCCGAACCAGCGAACCCCAGGCCACCGAAGCGGCCCATGCGAACTTAACCGCTGCGCCACTGGGCCGGCCCCTCAAGGTTTACTTCTAATTGAACTCTAACGACCTTCAGCTCCCTGAACTTCACTGCATCCAAACTAAGAGTTCTGCCAATTATTATTTTAAAGACAAAGTTAGAACAAGTATCATATGCTAGTCATCAAGCTCTTTTAAGCCATTGTCTAATTTTATACTGTAAACCACCAAGATATTGTCCCGAACACAGCACAGGCACCCTTGTGGGAGAAAGCCCAGCAACACCTCACCTCTGATTTATCTGCTACCAGCACTGCCTGGCTCCACCCAGCTGTCACCCTGACATCTCAGGCCTGGTGCACATCCCACCTGGGGAAAGTGTGTTCTGACACCAGAACAGGAGAACTGTCCCCCACACTAGTGACTGACCGGGGGTTCTCATCTGAGCCAAGCAAATGCACACCCCATCCACGATTCAGAGACACCAGCTCACAGGAGCACTAAGTAACAACATCAAGAACTCAGCCTCTGCTCAGATCACCCGAGTCCCATGCAAGACCACTACCTTCCCACTGGTCCGTCTCGGGGAGCCAACCTTGAATGGTGTCTTAAGATTGTGGATGTTTAAGAACGTACGCCACCAGGGTAGCCACAACCTCATCTACTTTCTAAAGGACTCCTGGTCTATCTGAATACACCACGCTGCTGCTGCTAGTGTCAACGCCCTGGTCACCTCCAGCACCCGAGGGACATGGTCACCTGGACTCCATCCTAACTTACAATCCCCAATCTGACTTCCTGCTCCAGGGAGTTCTTTGCATCCAACTTACTATCTTTAGGCCAAGTTCAAGACGCATGTATCTGAGACCCTGAAGACAAAGTTCTCGAGAGGAGCCTTCCTGACAGTGGACGAGCTATCAGTCCTAGAGATAGTCAGGCTCATGTCAGAGCACGTGAGACGAACCTTGGCTCCGTCCTTTATGCTTTGTGTGACCTGAGCACATTAAGAAATTACTTGGCACTATGTGTCCTCTTTTCTAAAATGGGGATAGTAATACTTTCCACCTCGTTTGAGTCGGCAAAAGGAATAAAACTAATATTACATGTAAAGTGTTCACAGCAGTTCCTGATACATATTTTTCAAGTACTTACTATTATTACTACTATACTGCAACCAGTACTGCTGCTGCTGCCAATGCCACTACCGCCACCACCACCGCCAAGTATGAGCCCCTACTGCTGCTGCTACTAGTAATACTACTACTGAGTATGAGCCCTACTACTGCTGCTACTAGTAATACTACTACTGAGTATGCGCCCTACTACTGCTGCTGCTACTATTCCTGCTGCTGAGTATTATTACTACTGAGGAGGAGTACCATTACTACTACTACTACTACTACTACTACTACTGACTATGAGCCTGTATTGCTGCTGCTACTACTAATACTAAAACTAGTGAGTATAAGCTCCCACATTTGTCAGGTACTCTAGTCCCCACTTTTCTGCCATGACTGCCCAATGACCAACCTCCTAAAAGAGAGCCCAGTGCTCTTCCACTTGCACCTTCCTTCCACCCCCATTCTGGCCATCCTGGATCCCCCATCTGTTAAGTAATACCGTGGCTGCACAACTTTGAAATCAACACTGCCAGCACCACAGTGGGGCCTGTCCCCTCTCAGGAAGAACCCCAGCTCCTGCGGCCTCGACCTCTATGTCTACTTATCCCAAATCTTGGCACACAAAGACCTGCAGCTCGTCCTGAGATGGGATCGAGTCACCATCCAGGTTTTGGAGACCCCACCCCAAGGACCAGCAGCCCATGAAGCGAAGAAAAGCAGAAGCTCAGTTCAAACCCAGCTACATGGGCCACCCTTTGGGATCCAGCTGTCTTTAGCTTCTTCAGCACCTGGTAGCAAAGGGAAACTGCAGAGCCAGGGGCAGCAGAGGGAGGCCTGCTCCAGGACATGATCCAACACAAAACCCCGAGGCCACTCGTCCCTGCCCACCCCCAACTGGATACCTGGCATGGGCCACAGGCACATAGTGAGGCTCCGGGGCTTCCTGAAAAGCAGAATCCATGAGAGCTCTGCTCTATGATGTGGGCCGCCAGATTTGGTCAGGAAATCCTGCACACATAGGCCACGATGACACCAGCTTACTTAAACTAAGACTTATTGTCACCATGTAGAAACACCATCATTGGGATACCTGTGCACAGGTTAAACACAGGCTGGCAACCCCAGACCCTGGAGTCAGTCCCACTGGTTTGCATCTTCACCCTGCCTTCAGAAGGCCACAGCAGTATGCAGGTGTGCTCGGTGCCCTCTCAAAGGTGGCACTCTGCCCCATATACCTGTCCCCGCCCTCTGGCACACTGGCCACCTGCCTTTGCCATCAACGAGCACTTCAGTCTCCCAGCACCATCGGTCACCTGTCAGCTGACAGATTCTCCGGTTTTTCCAGTTGTGTTGGGCAGAGTTCACCTACCTAGCTACCCACTGTCCACAGTGCCCTTCAGGACAGAGCCTTTTCAAGGAGCTACACCCTCCACAAACAAATCAAATGGCCAACCCATCTCACCCCAACAAAATGCACTAAGGACAACTCACCGCCTTTCTGCATCTTAAACAACTGCAACTTGTATCTCTACTACTCTCACACACTTGCAGGGCCACGAATGTTCCTAAGGTAGTACACTAAGGTACCACAGAGCGCACAAGCCACCCAGACGGATTTTCAGAATACCTCCAGGAGGCCACAGCCTAGAACAGGCAGGCGAACTGGCACTGTGCCCCCAGGGAGAAAGCTGTGTTACTGGAAGATCTTGACGGGGGCCCTTAGGGTAACGGAGTTCACTGACCTCATGGCTCTCTGCTTTTGGTTTTCCACTGCACATCCACTCCCACACTCTGCAATGCCACGCTACCAAGACTCTACCCCCTAACCACCAATCCACCCCAACAACCAGGGACAAGAAACCAGAATGGGCGATGCACGGATTTGCCAGGATGCATGGTGAGGCCCACGCCCCTCCACAGAAGGGACTTTGGCTCACGGAACCTGGCCAACTGGAAATGGGGTGTGTGCCCTCGGGAGATCTGGGCAATTCCAGCCCATACTCAAGGTCCCAGGTTCTGTCCCCCTGGAAGGGGAGAGGCGAGAGTACCGGCTTGGGAAAGCATTTATCAACATATGGCCTGGTCAAGTTAATTTTTTGTTGAGCACCTGCAAAATTCTTATGTCATTCTGGGCTCTGGGCCAAATTTCCTTCCTCCAAACCACAGGGCACCTAGTCCTTGAGGTTATAGGATCTCCTTTTGGTGAAGGATCACTCTCAGCATTTATAACATTTACTGAGCACCAACAATGCCCTAATATGGTATAAAATGCCTTTCCTTTTCAGTGCTATTCTTCCACAACTCCATACTTTAATTGGTTAAAAGAAAAATAATAGGGGCCAGCCCCGCAGCTGAGTGGTTGGGTTCTCGCGCTCCACTTCCGCGGCCCAGGGTTTCGCCAGTTCGAATCCTGGGCACGGACGTGGCACCGCTCATCGTGCCATGCTGAGGCAGCATCCCGCATGCCACAACTAGAGGGACTCACAACTTAAAAAAAAAACCACACAACTATGTACCGGGGGACTTTGGGGAGAAAAAAAGAAAAATAAAATCTTTAAAAAAAAAAAAAGAAAAATAACAATCCCCCTGAGGTCAGCACTCATTCTAAAGATAAATACCACCGCTGAGCTACATCATGTTTCTTAGACATGCTTTATCCTCAGACCTTAAACTATTTGTCTCTCCCCAACAGTCCCACCCATCTCATTACAGATCTGAGTCCAATGAAAAACAACGACCTTATGTAAAAGGTTTTACCTCAATAAACGTAACAATTCCCAAAACTAAATAGGATCTCCAATAACACTTTATGATTGCCTTTGTTAGAGAAGGCTTCCGTGCGTCTGTCTTGGCTCTCAAAACTTCTTTATCCCAGCACCTGCAATGAGAAGCAAAGCAATAAGAGGCAGCACGCCAGGCCACAGGGAGAGGCAGCAGGATGAAAGACAAGCATTTATTAGGGCACTCTGTGGCTGTCCCATAAATGCTAATTGTTTGCAGGGCTCCTCGAAGATGTGTGGCACAGAATCTGAAGCACCAGAACAACCGGCCTTGAGGGAAAAAGTCCCAGTCTCGGGAAACAAGAAGTTACTGCCAAGCTCTGCTGGATTTGCCATGCCATGAGCCACCCAAGAAGGCAGACATGGGTACAGACAACCTCCTCCAGTGACACCAGCTCCAAGGACAGATCTTGGCATCCAGGGCCTTCAATGCTGGCTCCCCTACTTCCACAAATGCACAAGAAACACAGTTTCCCTCAGCCGCCCAAGTAGGCTAAGTCTGGACAGCCTCAGGGGAAGTCAGCTGCAGAAGGGCCCAAAGGAAGGCAAACCCCATTCTAAACCATTAGCCACAGACTTAGAAGTTCTGTTTCTTCTGACCCTTCTCGTTACTGCCTGTTGCTTACCCTTGCAACTCTTCTCCAAGGTGCTTTGAGCGATCTTCTGGAAGCACTGTATACATATCATCTTCTTCTAATCTCCGCTTATGACCAATTTTAAACAAGGGGTTTAGCCACCTGTTAAAAATTAAGAGAAAAGGGAAGTGACATGGATCCATAATTACACATCTGTATCTAATTAGAATCCTACATGCATGGGTTTCATTTAAAAGGTCTACATTTTAGAGGCCAGCCCAGTGGCTCATCAAGCCATACTGTGGCAGCATCCCACATAAAGTAGAGGAAGACTAGCACAGTTATTAGCTCAGTGACAATCCTCAAGCAAAAAGAGGAAGATTGGCAACAGATGTGAGCTCAGGGCCCATCTTCCTCATACATACAAAAAATTTTTGTTTGATGCACCTCAGGTGGAAATCCTCCTGCATTACAGTCTAGACTTTGTCACCTTCTGGTTGTATGACCCTGAACTAGCTATAAACAGTAATCTCTCAGTATTGGCCTCTGGCAAATGGGCAGAACACCTGGAGATAACACCTCCCAAGGCTGGTGAGAGGGTCAGCTCAGGTTGCTCCGAACCCTACGAAGTCCCCCCAGACAAATACGAGCCCTGACCACGACAGCTCCCCAGTCATCAATTTGGGCCCCATTAGAAAGCCTGTAATAACTTTGATAGATAAAGTTACTTGATTAAGCAAATTTCTCCCACCATGGCTCTTGATTTAAGGACCTCCCAATCTCCTTCACTGCCCAAATCCCAAAAGGCCGGGCTGAGCCCCACAGGTACCACCAAGGGCTAAAGGTTTTCATTTCCATCTCATGGCAAGCCTACTTTGACAGGAGCCTAAATTATCTGTCACCACCTAAGTAAGGAATTAGACATGGAGACCTGAGTCAACTGATACCTTAATTCCAACTGAGAGAGGGTACTCACCAATTCCAGACCCACTGACTGCCTGCACCTTCCCTCAACCCAGTTCTGCCCCAACAGTCCTTCTCTCCCCGGTGTTACTCTCTCCTCCTGCAACACTGAAGACAGCAACAGCATTTCCCTCCCAACTGCCTCAGCGCAACTTGTTCAGGGCAATGACTATTCACACACCACTTGGACTCTCCATAACCAGACAGTGCCTGGTATGTCGTGGTGCCTGGACACAGACATCACTGGAATCCATTCAGTGTGAGATCAAACCCTCACACCACAGGTGAGCTATCTCAAAATGGGTCACCACCCCAAGTTTCCTGGAGCGACCCACAGCCAGATCGAATTAAATGTAGGTGGCAACTCTCAAGCTAGAATCTTCTTCCCTCGTGCCTCTGTGACTTTCCTCTGTTCCTAAAACTTGCTCGAAATCCATTTTTCTCATCCCTTTCCCTTCCATCTACTACCTATTCTTTCCACGTCAAAATAAGCAAAGCAGCCTGCAGACTGCATGCCCCTCCCTCCCCAGCACTCCCCAGCTCCCTCCACTCCCACTGCCTGGGTCCTCCCAGGCTGTGAGCACTGCAGAGACTTCCTACCTTGGAGCTTGTGAGCCTTTCTCTGGTTCACCCCTGGTCTTCTTGTCTCCCTTTTCTCTCCTGAGCTAATCCATGCCTTTTACTTCTTTAGTGTCCTTGTGCTATCAACACACATCTTCCCAACACTCTCTCCCACACTACAACCAACACCAAAAATCTACAACTACTGGGCATGGATAACTATCCTAATCCTCTTCTTAAACACACACACACACACACACACACTTGACACATTTGCACACAATTTAGTAATAGAGAGAACAAAACGAGGAATCATGAGTAAGATACCATTCTTGCTAGCCAATTCACAAGTTTGTGAAGGGATTAAGGCACCGTTGGCTGGAACTAGCAAGTAAGGGACCCCACAACCAGCAGGTGATACCCCATCTAGTTAGCACAGGCTGCATGGCCACCACAAGGCGCAGGACTCGATCGTCACCAAGATCACTTCTGAGCCCATCAGTCCCTGGGGCTGACCCTCCTCTGAAGATCTGGCCATTAGTGCCTGTTCCAATCAAGAACTTCCTTGCAAACTATTAAATTTCATCCCCCATAAGCGACGACATAGGTCTTGTTTCCAAACTCAAGGTATCCCTCCTGAGAGTAAGGAGTATGACTGCCTAACAAGGCCAGCCTTTGATGCCACTCATTGGGATTTATGAAATCACAAAGCACAGAAAAGAAAGTACCTTACTTGGATCAAAGAATTGTTCCAGAAGCTGAATTACCTGCATGTGAACATGCAATTCACATTTTCTTAACTGAAAGGGATACCTAACTCAAGGCCAAAGAACTGATATAATTTGGTCAGTTATCTTGATGCTTTCATAGACTTAAAGTTTATCAGTCCATGGGAGATAAACACCTGTGCCTTTAGGCTAATTTAGGAGCTGCATCACCTCATGCAGCTTGCCAAGCTGTGCCTTGGTATAAGCATCGCCAGTGTGAGTGCCTGCATGTTTACAGCAGCCCCAACCTGCCCTTTCAGTCACATATCCCTTTGTCCCAACAGGAACCCCTTTTCCCAGCCAGGCTTCCATCTTATCCTGTGCACACACCCTGACACTCCTACCTCTATTCCTCCCACACGTGGTAGGTCTTCATCCTTTTTTTTTTTTCAATAGACTTAACTTTGTTATCACACGTTTAGGTTCACAGCAACACTGAAAGTACAGAGCGTTCTCATATACTCCTTGCCCCTCCCCCCACACACACACAACCTCCCCTATTATCAACATCCTCCACCAGAGTGGTACATTTGTTACAATCGACGAACCTATGTTGACACGTCATTATCACCCAAAGTTCAGAGTGTACATTAGGGCTCCTCTTGGTGTTGTATATTCTATAGGTTTGGACAGATGTATTACAACATGTATCCATCCTTATTGCATCACAGAGTAGTTTCACTGCCCTAAAAATCCTCCCTGCTCTGTCAGTCATCCTCCCCTCCCCTCAATCCCTGGCAACCACTGATCTTTTTACTGTCTCCACAGTTTTGCCTTTTCCAGAATGTCATATAGTTGGGGTCGCACAGTATCTAGCCTCTTCAGTCTGGCTTCTTTCATTTAATAATATGCACCGAAGACTCCTCCATGTCTTTTCATAGCTCGATAGCTCATTTCTTTTTTACTGTTAAAGGATATCCATTGTCTGGATGGACCACAATTTATTTATCCATTCACCGATGAAGAGCATATTGGTTGCATCCAACTTTTGGCAGTTATGAATAAAGCTGCTATAAACATCCATGTGTAAAATAATTTTTAAAAAAGGAATTAACAAGAGAATAACATATATTCTATTAACATCTATTAGCATGTATGTATAGTCTATGCACACCTATTAAATTGACATTTGTGTTTGTACTTAGAATGAATGGTAGCTGGTGTGTAGTTAGCACAATGTGTTTATCGAAAGGTATAGTTTTAACAAGTCTTTATTTTATTTCTAGCTTTATGTATTTGACTGCCATGTCATATGACGCACAAAAACTTATGACTGCTTAAAAACAAAAAAGGACACCGTGTGCAGCTTTTCATGTGGACCCAAGTTTTTAACTCCTTTGGGTAAATACCAAGGAGCACAATTGCTGGATCACATGGTTTAAGAGTATGTTGAGTTTTTTAAGAAACCACCAAATGCTCTTCCAAAGTGGGGGCACCATTTTGCATTCCCACTAGCAATGAATGAGAGTCCCTGTACCCCCTTTTTTTAAATCTGACTTAATCAATCCCTGTTCAAGTTCCAGCCCCTTCACGGAGCCCTCTCTGACCCCTCTTGCCAGCAAACCTCTCCTTCCTTGGATTCATGGGCAACCTATGTGGCACTTATCAAAAATCCCTTGTACTCTCTTTTGCCTGAAGTCACCCACTGGAGGCCCACACATAAGATCCTGGCAACAAATATATTTGGTGTGGCACACATTATTATTTTTTAAAAATTAGCTAAAAGAAATAAGGAGATTTCCCATAAAAATCCAGATTCCCAAGTGCTCTTGAACACTCAGGTCTGCCCACACTGTGTACACATTTCCCCATGCTACTCTGATATTTTCTATTCTACCCCCACTTCCTTAAAAAAGAAATGCCAGTCATTGTACATCTGTAATCATAGCATTATTCACAATAGCTGAGCGCTGGAAGCAACCCAAGCGTCCACTGACAAATGAATGGATAAACAAAGTGTGGTATAAGCATACACTGCATTACTCAGCCTTAAAAAGAAAGGGAATTCTGACACGTTACTACATGGATGAACCTTGAGGATATTCTGCTAAGTGAAATAAGCCTGCCACAAAAGGACAAATACCATATGATCCAACTTATACAACATATACAGAAGAGTCAAATGCATAGAGACAGAAAGCAGAATGGAGGTTGCCAGGGGAAGGGGGAGGGAGGAATGTGGCGCTGTACTTTAACGGGTACAGAGTTTCGGTTTTATTGATGGGAAGAATCTTGTGGATGGATGGTGAAGACGGTTGCACAACAGCGTAACATAATTAATGTCACTCAACTGTATACTTGAAATGGTTAAGATGGTAAATACTGTGCTATGTGTATTTTACCACAATTTCTTCTTCATTTTTAAAGAGAAACACCAGTCAGAATCCACTAAACTGGTTTCCTGGTGCACTAATGGGTTGAGACCTTATGTCTGAAAAACACGGGTATAGACGGCTCTCTACTGTGCAGACACTGCCCTTAACACCATCATCTCCACAGCAGAGCAGGGGTCACCCGAGGGCAGGGTGGCTTCTCAGCCATTTCTGCATGCTCAGTGCCCAGCACAGCTCCTGGAACACAGTGGAGCTCAGTGAGTATCTGCGCCACACAGAAATGAGCCATGATGATAAATCAGCATTTAGGGCTGCAACGAGGCTTCTTCGGTGGAGGCCTTCCTCCTTGCACACCTCAGACTTGGCTGCCATTCTTGCCTAGCTTGTTTCCCATAAAGTGAGAAGGAAGTGAAATGTAAAATGACTAAAACAATATAAGCAGTTCCCAGGCCAAGTGCCCCATGGAGCAGGTGCCCGACTGGCAAGCCCCAAGGACTATTCACAAGTGCCCCAGGAGCACACAATACCACAGAAACAC